GTCTTTATATTTACTTGTCAATATTGTAATCCATTTATGAAGCAGCAGCAGCAACTCAACCGTCGTCGCCCAAATGCCAGAGCCTCTTTGCTATCTCTCTCAACTTCTCTCACCAAAAGTAGCCGTTACACAGAGACCGATTTGCTGAGTATATATAATAGCATTTTTCACTCCCTGTGACTGCTTAGGATGCGTGCTATCTATCTATGGAGACGAAGTAAAAAGCAACCAACCCTCTCTCTCCATCCAGAGACTGCCTTTCTCTCTCCTGCTCTCTCTCTTGTATATGGAAGTTTTGATATATAGTCGGATGAGTGATCCGCTCGGATCCTTTTGTCTTTCATCGTAGATATCAGTTTCTATTACGTACTATTTGTATTTAATTTTAAATAAAAAAATATAAAATAATGTATAACTACATAATAACTGATAAATAAACATGATAAAATTATTCTTAAAATCTAATAAGATCCGTATAGGATCCCAAGTGGACCCGTCAAGTCCGTTACTCCTGGGATTAGCCTCACTAAATATTAACTTTAGTTTTTTTTTTCTTGCTTCTTTAAACTTGTCTCATTGACTAATATTTTTAAGTCTTTGTTTAAAATTCTTATGGTCATCCGCCCTAAGATTTGATGTTGAAATTTAGTTTTATGCCGTGATACTCGATTTCCATTTTCTTGTATAGATCTGACAGTAGATGACTGCGCTGCATTTGCATAGTAGTAGAAAGCATGTGGTCGAGACTCTTTTTTTATTCTGTTACATTTGCTTATAGATTTCTTACCATAATAACTAGCATGCTGGTTTAATAGGGTTGTTTTTTCACATGACTCTTTGGACGTATGTGGGAAGACTTCGTCTTTATGATGAAATTATTTACTTGGTAATTGACATTGTGCAAATGAGACTCGTCATTTTGTTATATGTACTTATGAATTTCATACCATATAACACGTAAAGTTATTAGATTTTTCATTTACGTGCCTCTTATGGTTCGTGTTAGGAGGATGATAGACCAAAAATGGAGAAAAAATGTGCCTTGTTTGTGTTGGGATAAAAAAAGGCACATGAGTGCCATTGAATTTCATTATGTGAATTTCGTTATGAAGTTTCAAATATCTTTTATTGTACGATGAAATAAAGAGAATCAAACTATTATCGTGGCGTAAAAATTTTATGTGTTGGTTTGATCATAAATGATTTTTTTCTATCTTTTCCATATATGTTATTAAATTATTGCCACTGCATGTGTGACATGGCATTTGGTGACCTAGATATTAATACATAAAATACATCTACATCCTTTTTTTTTTTTTGGTGTTAATTGGGTGTTTAGAGAATTATTCTTTCATTATATAACATGGTAAATGCCAAGGCATGAAGCTTCCCACTTTTGTCCTTATTGTGTGCCCCAATTTTTCACACTTTTGTCTTTTTTGTGTGTCCAATCTTTCACTTTATCCAACTCATCGACTTCATTTATTTATTTTTTCTTTCAATTCTTTTTAATAGTTTGGTTTGATTGTTGGCAGTACATCATTTTATAATTTTGATTTTGATAACATTCTCATGGATCTCGGTTTACGCTTTCTATCATTTTAATAGTATAATTTTCGAAAAGGCATAAGGGTCAGTTAGAATTTGGATTAATTTATACATTTACAGTTAAAAGATGTAAGTTAGTTTTTTCATAAGAATTATATGGAGGAAGTTGATTGATTAGTATAGATACAGAATGGGAGCATACTAGCAATATGTGATTTGTAATGATCGTATCATTATTACTAACAAAACGTATTGCATTTTGTTGATTAATTTACTTACTTTTTATTTTTATTTTTTTTATCATAGGGTAGAGGGGGGTGGGTTTGGAAAAAAAGGGCCCAAAGGAGTCATAAGACCCATGACAGTAGCAAAAGCCCGTCTAGGACATAGGAGGCCCAAATTCACGACTGAAGCAGAAGGAAGTCGTGCAAACAGATCTACCCGCTGAGATTTCGTCACTGAAACCAGAAGCTCAAAAAAACCCAGAGGAAAAGATTGAACGCAGCTGCTGTATCTCTCTGTGCCTTTCGACACCGATTGGCAGAGAAGCAAACGGTAAACCCATTTCATTTCACAAGCTAAACCAGAGAGATCCGAAGACAAACGCGTCACTCGGATCCAGCAAAAATGAATATATTCAGATTAGCAGGCGACATGACCCACCTGGCCAGCGTCCTCGTCTTGCTCCTCAAGATCCACACTATCAAATCGTGCGCCGGTACCGCCATTTCCCCCTTTTTTTTACCTCTCTGCATTTTTGTTTATAATTTAACTGCTTTGCAAGAAATTAAATTCTGTTTTGAATTGAACCCAGTTGAGAAGTGAAGTTTTATTGCGTTAATCGTGTATGAAATTGCGTTAATCGTGTATTTTATGCCTTTGAAGTTTTGATTTTTTGGCTTAAAAGAGCATTTGGGTTCTGAGTTCTAACTTGTATAATCCAGCTGACAGTGGAAAAATTCCAGATTGTTGTGCTTTTTGATAATTTAGAATGAGGGCTTAACTTGAACTTTTATGAGCATTGAGTATTTGGGTTATAGGGGATTGGTTGCTGTTGCATTTTTCTCGATCTGAGATATTCAGAAATGGCCCTTTTTTCGGGTTGTTTATTTGGTTATTAGTACTAGCAACATTATTTGTTGATGTGTTTCATTGTGTTTAGGTATTTCTTTGAAGACTCAAGAACTCTATGCCATTGTTTTTGCTGCTCGCTACCTGGACATTTTCACCGATTTTATATCTCTGTATAATACCGTCATGAAGTTGATATTCCTGGGGAGTTCGTTTTCAATTGTTTGGTACATTAGGGAGCACAAGATTGTTCGTAGGTCCTATGATAAAGACCAAGACACCTTCCGCCATGTTTTTCTTTTGCTGCCATGTGTGTTCTTTGCCCTAATAATCAATGAGAAATTCACCTTTATGGAGGTTCGTTTGCATAGTTTTTTAGTTTCTTTTTATTCGTATTTGGTACCCCTCACTGCTAAGTACAAATTCAAACTGTTCAACTGTCTTTACATCTTTCCGCTTCATCTTTCATTATTTTCTTATATGCTATATGATAATGTGGATCAGGTCTTGTGGACATTTTCATTATATTTAGAAGCCGTTGCTATACTTCCTCAGCTTGTGCTGTTGCAGAGAACAAGAAACATTGACAACTTGACCGGCCATTATGTGTTACTTCTTGGGTATATATTTTCTAAACAAACTTTTGATTCACCATGCCATATCAATTTTTTTTGTTTCTTTAGTTGCCTAATACATAGCCACGCAAATTGGCATTTATTTCTCAGGTAAAGATTCTTTATACAAGTTTATTCCCTTTTCTTTTATTTTTGGGATATTTTGCCCAGAAATCCTCTGCAGTGGTGTCATCCAAAACTGTTTTCTAATGCCACATGTTACGTATAATATTTTATCAATGCTAATGGTGTTTTATGATATATTGGTTGGGGTTTCTATTGACGTGCTCAACTATTTCTGCAGTGCATACCGAGCTTTATACATTCTCAACTGGATTTACCGCTACTTCACTGAACCACACTATATCCATTGGATACGTATGACTCTCTCTCTCTCTCTCTCTCTCTCTCTCTGTGGGATGCATCTATGCCCTTTGTTGTGTATGTGTTCCTGTATGCATGCACTTGCATATTTATGTTTCCATATTTTACAAGGATCGAGGTATTAGGTAGAGATGTTGTGATGCACAGGTATTGTACTTGGTGATATGCTCAGTGCAGGCAAAATTATGACATACAATAAGTTTTCTTGTATGATGTTTGCACTCATCTAGGCATCATTTTATTTTTCGTTGCTGGTGAATCCACATTCATGTATTGAATTATTGTGATATGAATAACATTCAAATTCTTTATATTTATACTCGTATTTTGAGACCTTTTCTCATTGTATTCATTTTAAATTAGGGGGATTCATGGACCTACTGCTTCGATAAGTAGTGTCTCTGTTTACAACTTTACACCAATATGCACATATATGTTACTTATATTAGCAACTGTATTCTCTTTAATTCGAAAGCACTTGTTTCCTACTTGTTTCTTCTACTTTTGCATGGTATATTGAATCGTCAGATTGTAAACTTAATTTTTGTTCATTAGTTCTTCTCAAAGAAAACTTAATTTTTGTTCATTAGTGAATTTCGATAATTTCCATGTTTGAATGTGGAAATAGTTGACAACTCTCGAGCATAAGCCTTCACAATCTGAGTTCCCATTCCACATATTGAAACCATAGTTGAGTTCATCAGCATCTTTGAGACACCACATCCTCAGTATCCTGGCACATTTTCCCTTTCTTGTTTGCCTAGTAGACTTCTTCTTTCGACCATAAACTATATGCTTACGTTCTTCTTTGGCCGTTGCAGCATGGATTTCCGGGCTTGTTCAAACACTGCTGTATGCCGATTTCTTCTACTACTATTTCCACAGGTAAATATTCGTAAATGTTACAAATAATTTGCATTCATCTGAGCCTTCCCTCATATATATTTGTACAATTGTGGTTTGCAGCTGGAAAAACAACAAAAAGCTCCAGTTACCGGCTTGAGTTCAGCCGCCCTTTACTCAGTGTTTAGTTTTCCATTCATTGCCTTAGAATACTACGCAAAAGGATCAAATATGTTGCTCGGTAAATGCTCATTGTTGGGACTGTCAAAACGGTGTATTTTTTTCCGTCTTACCCTGTTTTGCTCAGTCACACATGGCTTCTCAAACCAACACTGTTTTCGGCATTTAGGAAACGTATACTTCGCAGAATTATCATTTTTTTGAGTTATGATTATATTATACTTGTCAAAATGTCATATGTGTTGAGTCATGATATTCAATCTTTAACTCCAATTTGTGAACATTTTGAAGACTTGTATAACGCATGAGTTAGTTTCTCTCTCTCTCTCTCTCTCTCTCTCTCTCTCTCAAGATAAAGAATTTTCCCCAGGAAAACATTTATTTCAATATTCATCTCATCTGAACTCCATTACAATTATCATGAACATACAGAAACTTAAAATTTCATAATTTTCTATTAAATATAAAAATTATAAGAAAAAAAAGGGGTTCAACAACTTTCATGCTCACCCTCCGGTTTGGTGCAGCATTGCATCAATCTCATCACCATCTTCCATCTCAAGCTAACAAACACCAACAACAAAAATGAGCTGCAAATTCAATTTAAATAGCCAAATACTGAGTTCAGATCTGAGAAACAACTCAATATCTAACCTCCTCTGGAGTCTGCTCAGGCCGGAGTCTCCGGCCATCGAACAAGAAGGCGATCGAGTTCATGTCCACTGACTGCCGATCACAGTATGCAGTCATGAGCTTCTTCAGTTGGGTGGTATGTTTAATTCTAAAAAACACCTCGTTACCATCCTGTAAATTTAACAAAAAATAAGAAAAATTATTGTCAAAATTAGGATTGTTAATGGTTATTAAGGATTGTACTTAATTAATCTATAGCTGTGTAAACAAACACGACCCAAATTGGGAATATTAAGAATAAAAGAAACCAACCAGAATTTCAAAAATCACTCGCAACAATCATGAAAATATGAAACATACAAACATGTGAATATGTCGAAAGAACTTGTCTACAACATGATTTGACTACAGCGATATTCCAACTAAACTACAAACGTGTGACAAAGCATAATTGGTTTGAGATATCGATGCAAATGTATACCTGGCCCTTGACTTTGAGGTTAATGTGGGCAGGCTGATCCAGGGGTTTCTTCTCTTCCTCCCTCCCACCACCACCTCTACCTCCATCTGTTGCTGACATCTTCCTACAATCTCTCTCTCACTACGGAAATTACTCTTTGACATACAAACACAAACTTCTGATGCTTCAAACTTAAAAAGGAGAGGAGTTGCCCAAGCGTAATATAAACGCTACAGAGACACCCGGGGGGGGGGGAGGGAGAGGTAGAGAGAGAGAGGGAATCGTTGTACGTACGACGGCTGAAAACAATTGAGAGGGAATCTGACGTGTGAGATTGCGCATGTGTAGGACTTTTTGCGGTAGGAGTGGAATCTAGTTATTTTCTTACTTTCTCTTCCCTCCTTCTGGTGATGTGTACTTTCTATTAAAAAGAAGTTTTGGGGAATTCTGATTCTTTGTTAATCTTATTCACTTATAAGTATAAAAGTCAACTAAACCTTGACTGTGCTAGTTGGTTTGGAGAAGTTCTTCAGTCTGGAAGCTCAAAACATTTAATTATTTGACCGAAGCTTCGTCGATAGGACCATGAGGAGTTGGGTGAGCTCGAAATCTAGGGGCGGTTGGTTGACATGGAATGTTTTTGTATCTCGGGTGGATGTGTTAGGCGACAGGGCAACTTGCACCCCAAGAATTTCTCGTTGGAGTATTTCTTGAACAAGCTTGAACTATAAGAATGATCATTTAGAGATCGGTCCTCGATTGATGAGATTACTGAAGTTTTTAATTATCTTTTGGCCATACCCTAATCACTTGGATTGTTTTGATAAACACATAAGCCAACTGATATTTTCTTTTGCTTATTTATCAAATTGTCACCAGAACAATATTCGAAGTATCATCCTTACTCCAAGTCTTTTAAACCGAAATCACTTTCTTCTCTGGATTGTCAGTTTGTGTCTCACATTACCTCAGTTCCTCAACTATGTCTATTCGGTCATTAACTTTTGATTACGAAGTGATCAAGAAAATGACATCCATACTACTAATTTATCAATAAGAAAATTTACGGTCAATAGTTGACTGACTGGAGTAACGTGAGATATGGAATGAAATTATGAAAGTCCCTAGGGGAAGATATAGTTGCAATTCTTTTTTATTTGTTTTTGCAAATAGCTTTTTCTTTCCTTCTTCTTCACTCAATATGCTGACATGCCTCATAAGCTTTAAATATAAAATCTTCGACACAGCTACTAAATTTGCAAACAAATATTTGCTTGTGGTTGCGGAAGCTTCTGTTTTTTGTGTGATTGCCTGCAGCCTCCGTCTTTGACATGTTTTGTCTAGGTGTTTCTAATTAACCCTAATTATATATTCTGCGGCATATGTTAAACATAAATAACATCAATCGACTGGAGCAAGAAAACTTTATTTCCGATCTGACTTAACATTTCAAAAGCTTGATTTAAACAAAATAATAATGATATATAATTACAACATTTTTCTTAACCAATACTCATGATAACCTGGTTTTCTATGCTAACTTTGCTAGCACTAGTTGTCACAAAGCATGATTTAGGTGAAGCAGCTGAGGACAATGTTAGTTTTGACCAACATTACGTCGTCAGATATGAAAATTGATTGTTTCGTGAAATTAACCGTGGAAGAGATGTTCGGCCTTCTTTTGACCAAACTTCAGATTCTAATTTTAATTCTTTCACATTTTGCGGTAAATATTATATATTTTTTCATGTTTTTTGGTCAAATTTACATGGTTGGGTAATTGTAATATTAGACAGCATACTTTTTGTTTCTTGTAGCAACTCAACCTCTGAACTTGCAATCAATATATCATCTTCGTAAAAAAGAAGAAAATGGTCAATCTTGAGTTTATCATCTTCATGTAGACACAATTGTCAATTTTATTCATGACAAAATCAAATGAGGTTACTACTTCATCAAGCTTTTGATTCCCTTGTTTAAGACCTTAGATAGATTTGTTTAACTTGCATACCATGTTCTTCTTCCCTCTTTCAATAAATCCTGGTGGTTGAACCATGTAAATAAATGTCTTCATCTAAACTCTCACTGAGAAAATCATTTTTTAACTTTTTACATCCATTTGATGTAGTTCAAGATAGGAACTGGGGAAAAGGTCTCGTGATAACCCAATCCTTCCTTTTGAGTGAATCTCTTAGCAAACAAGAGTTTCTAAATCCAAACATTGTTACTGGTCCATTTTCAACAAAGAAAATATGTGGTAATCTCTACTCTTTTCTATTTATTGATGATTTTTCACAATTCACTTATCTATATTTAATTTCCAAAAAGTCCCAAGTTCGCAATTGTTTTAAAGCCTTTAAACTGAAAGTTGAAAAACAATTAGAAAAGACTAGCTCGGGAATGACGAATTCTTCAAGTAAGCTGAAAAACAATTTGAGAGAGTTGGTGTGGTATTCGAAGTTCAAGTAGCTTTGGTACCGGGTAGAGAAAGGAACCTCTTTTCCTTCTGCCCAGCTCCATTTAAATTTTAAGTTTGTTCCAAAACTAAGATTGAACGAACATTATGAGTGATGTCTCAACGAAAAAAACTAAAGGGAGAACTTAAACATAGGTCCCTTACATTGGGCCATCACAACCTCCAACTCCTGCCACCCGCACTTGCCTAGGTTTACATAATTGGCTGTCGGTGTCGTCGTAGGGAGAAATTGGGCAATCCTTGTCCCAGTGAAGACCATCTTCCAAACAATGAAAGCAATATTTTTCCTCAGCACGTCCTTCCCAGTTATCGCGGCCAGGGTGCCCACCAATCTTACCACACATCGTACAAACTATTCCATAGCGAGGGCCAATGGTAGTGCCGTCTGGGACATGCTTCAGGTACGGGCATTTGTCACTCCAGTGCGCATCCTCCTTCAGGCAAACTGCACAGCGACCGAAAGTAGGACTCTCATTCCGGGTTGCGCCACCTGTGTTTTCCGGTTTGAGTTGAAGTTTAGCCAATGACTCTCCAAGTTCCTGCTTTTCTGTAAGGTGTACATCGCTACGGCTACCTGTTTTCATTGCAGCGGAATAATCACTACTTTGCTGATGCTAACTAATGAAACGGAATAATCAGAAAAGCCTTATACCAACGTCTAAAGCTTACAAAAAATTGGAAATTAAGCCTATATAAACCGAGAACAAAACATTAGATTTCTCTATTTCTTGATTTCCACCTTAATTACCCGCTCGCTTACTCACCCGCCCGCTCGCTCACTCACTCACTCACTCACTCACTCACCCGCGGGGGTACTGTAACCTGTCTCTGGACGTGGGTTTCCACACTGATAAATCTTTGGGAAAACCATTCCCTCTCTCTCAAATAAAATCAAAAGGAGGTCTCAGTAATATAACACAATAAAACCCATCCAGTTGCAGATTTTCACCAAAACAATAAAAAAAGAAAATTATAAAGCGAAACGAAAAAAAAAAAAAGATTATCTTATTCCCCTCCCCGGCGGTCACGAATTAGGCCTGAACCCTAAAAATGAAAATCATACCTTCAGAATTCTCACCTTCTCCAAGAATTTCTTTCGTCTTCCGATTTCCCATCTTCGGTATTACGCTCTCCATCTTCGTCAAAGAGAAAGAGGGAGAGATCGCAGAGAGAGATTGCTTTTAGGGTTTCGGCGTTATTTGGGTTGAGACCGTGAAAGGAAGAGTGTGTCCGGTATTGTGGTTTATGTGTTTATATAGATGAGACATAACCGACGTCGCAAGTGATCTGGATCCTGTGCCAACTCACCCCTTTTTTCTTAAAAAAAGAAGAAGAGAAGAACGGGTGGTAAGCTACTATTATCCACCGTTTTCGGGCACGAAAAGACAACGGAAAATTTCACCATGCTCATGACCAGGATCAAGCAAACTCACCAGTTTGGAGCATCAAACCCGGACCTCCCACATTTTTTTGTTTATTAGGGAGCCGTAGTCCGCGCCGGGTTGTGGTTCTACTAACCAAGGTCTAAAATATCGATGATATCGGAAATATCGATAGTCCAAAAACACGGAAATTTTGATGGAAATATCGGGATATTATCGATATCGATAAAAATTAAATAAAAACCACGGAAATTGTAAGAAAAACTTGGAAATTTTTATTGAAACTTTGATGTTTATTTAGTCAATTATCTATTAGTTTATCACAAAAAATTGGAAGGAAATGCATTGCATGATGGATTTAACTGATTTAAGTTGATTATATAGCGAGCTGACAAACATTGTGAGTGTAGAAAATATGTAGTAATTAATGAAAGAAGTTTAAACACACCATAATCATTTATATATAATGAATTAGTACAATATTTTACACTTTATAGAAATTTATCCTAGATAATAAATATTAGCTTGCAAGCCTTGCAGACATCTTAACGACCATATAAATATTATAGGCTGAATATGTAATCACAAACACATATGTAGCGAGTTGGATAAGGCCCAGGTGTGTGGTTGACAAAGGGAGGGGTTCGAATCGTCCTCTAAAAAAAACGATATTATCGACGAAATATCGCTGATAATATCGATATTTTATACCTTGATTCCAACTAATGGTTCAAAAATTTGAGGCAACACCCTTGATATCACTGACAATTTGGTAAACATGCCCCAAATATTGTGAAAACATAATTGCAAGCGAGGCCAAAAATATTGCACAGCAGGGCCCAAAAAAGCAAGGTAGGAAACGTCGGCCTCGCCCTCTATTGACTTCTCTAAGGCACGGACGCGAAACGCGTGTATTGAAGTCCAAAAACGCACAAAAGCTCAGATCTTTCTTCCTTCGATCAGAAAACCAAAACCCTAGAAAATCAAATTCCCCAAAAAAAAAATCCCCAAATTCCGCCATGGGAAACACCGAGAAGCTGATGAACCAGATCATGGAGCTCAAATTCACCTCCAAGTCATTCCAGCGCCAGTCCAGGAAGTGCGAGAAGGAGGAAAAAGCCGAGAAGCTCAAGATCAAGAAGGCAATGGAGAAGGGAAACGTCGACGGATCCCGGATCTACGCCGAGAACGCGATCCGGAAGCACACTGAGCAGATGAACTACCTCCGCCTCGCCTCGCGGCTCGATGCCGTGGTGGTGCGGCTTGACACCCAGGCCAAGATGTTCACCATCAACAAGTCAATGGGCAATATCGTCAAATCGCTCGAGTCGTCATTGGCCACTGGAAACCTCCAGAAGATGTCGGAGACCATGGACTCGTTTGAGAAGCAATTTGTGAACATAGAGGTCCAGGCCGAGTTCATGGAGACCGCCATGGCTGGCTACACCTCGCTTTCGACACCGGAAGGTGAGGTCAATAGCTTGATGCAACAGGTTGCGGAGGATTTGGGTTTCATCTCGCGATATATTGCCCAAATAATGCATTAAAATGTTGAAAATATTGTCTCCGATATTATCGCGATAATATCGACAAAAATATCGATATATTGATGATAATTAAGTGGATAAGTGTGAAAATATCGTTCTCTAAAAAAAACGATATTATAGATCTTGCTACCAACTTACCCCCTTAGTTATATATAATGTGACAATATGCACCTTACCGTCTGTTAAAAAAATCGCTTTTAACGAATTTTTCTTTAATTAAAAAAAAAAATCACTGAATGTCCATTTATGAGAAAAACTTGTGTAAGGCTCTGTTATAAATTTATCAAGACATGCTTGATGCTTCAAACTTAAAAGGCAGTAGAGGAGTTGTCCAAGCGCATGTGTAGGACTTTTGCGGTAGGATTGGATTCAATTCAAGAGTCATTTTCTTGCTTTTTCTTCCCTCATTCCGGTGATGTGTACTTTCTATCAAAAAGAAGTTTTTGGGGAATTCTGATTGGATTTGATTCTTTGTAAATCTTATCCACTAATAAGTATTAGAGTCAACCAAACTTTGACTCTGCGGGTTGGTTTGAGAAGTTCTTCAGTCCGGACGGCAAAAACATTTAATTGTTCGACCGAAGCCCCATCGGATAGGACCATGAGGAGTTGGGTGAGCTTGAAATCTAGGGGCAGTTGGTTCACATGGAATGTTTTTGTGTCCCAAGTGGATGTGTGAGGCAAGCTTGAACTGTAAGGATGATCGTTTAGGGATCGTTTCTTGATGGATGAGATTACTGAAGTTTTTAATTATCTTTTGGCGAGACCCTAATTATTTGGATTGTTTTGGTGCTTACATATTCGGTGCAAATTCAAAAATTACATGAGGAGAAAAAAGAAAGACATGAAATGAAAATGGAACTTATTAGTAAGAAAGTTAAGCACGATAGAAAGAAATTTTGACTTAAGCCACTAGTAGAAATAACAGCTTGCGCGACAAAGAGATTTTCGTCACGCAAGACTCACTTGTGCGATGAAACACATATTTCATCGCGCAAATAGAAAAGATAGGAAAAAGGCGAAATTATTCGTCGCTCAAGAACACTTAGCGCGACGAATAATTGTTGGCGTCGCGTAAAGTCAGCAAGAAAACGCGGAGAAATTTTGTTTGGCGCTAAAACTTGCACGACAAACAGTTGGTTGCGCAAGTTCCTGTCAATTTTGACCATTTACTGTAGGTGAATCAGAGGAATTAATACGGCATTTAATATTGGTGTTTGCGCAACAAAGTCTTCGTCCTGTGAAGGTCCTAATCTTCCTATAAATGTGCGCTTCTGTTGTCTTGATTCTTCACAATTCTACTTTTCTTATTCTTCAAAATTCTGTTCGTGCTGGGATGGCGGATAAAAACAAGGATGAGAATGTACGTGACGCCGACCCGCATGATTTGAGGGAACATTTTGAGTTTGCGCATGCAATCGCTGTAGCCATGGGAAATAATTGTCCCACTGCTGAGTGGCATTCTTGAAAAGATGTGCCCGGGAATGTGAAGAAGGCTGTGATGGATGAACTATTAGCAAGTATATTGTTGATAGATTAATAATTAAGTTTGTGAAATTTTTAGGTATATGTTGGAATTAATTATTTTGGATATATGTGTAACAGTGTAAGTACATTCTTGATGATGATACGAACGAGCAGTTGATGGAGTTGATGGATAATGCGTTGGAGGGAGGTTACAATTGATGACATTATGAAGTCTTGCGGAATGGACCAGGACCATCCAAATAGTAGTTTTAAATTTATATTTTGTATGACAATATTTAAATTTAAGGGTTTATTTTTATTTTTTTATATAAGTTATGTATTTGGACTTAATTAGGTTTCAATTCCTATTGGGTTTTTTTTATTGAAACCTAATGTAAGCACCCTATCCTTGGTTTATGTGTGTTTTCAATCTTCAATAAATATCGTACTTATGTTGAAAATTATTGTATGAATTAAGGCATTAATTATATATAGAATAAATATTTAAGGTATTAATTATTTATAGAATAATATTTCAGGTATTAATTATTTATAGAATAAATATTTAAAGTATTAATCATTTTTAGAATAAATATTGAAGGTATTAAATATTTTATGAATATTTGTTTGTAATTATAAAGTTTACGTAAACATAGATATCTATGTTTATATAAATTTTATAATTACAATTATTTTATTCGTCTAGCAATAGATTGAGCGATGGAACCTTCGTCGCGTAAGACATCTTTGCACGATGAAACCCTTTGTTTGTCGCGCAAAGCACGGTCAAACCTTCCAATTTATTACGCATTTTGCGCGACAAACTGAGTGATTTGCGCGACGAATTTGTTCATCACGCAAAGTTGTCCTAGTGCTATATAAACACAGTTTCAGATCCGTAGTTTTCAAAATTTTTTTGTTTAAAAAAGAATGGCCGATTATGGAGAAGGTTATGGCAAAAAGAAACTTGTAGTTAGGGGTGGGCACTTGGAACCGAAAACCGAAACCTAAACACGAATCGAATCAAACCGCACCGAACAAGGGATGGAGGGAGGGAGGGAGGGAGGGAGAGAGAGAGATAGGGATTTGGTGAGAGGAAGGCATGCGGCTTGTAGGCAGATAGAGTCACAGGGGGTGTACGATTCAAAGAGGAGAAAGATAGGGGATTCTGTGATGATGTTCGATTTGGGAAGAGAGAGAGATAGGGAGAGTGCGATTTTGGGCATTTTTCTACAGCTCCTCTCGAAGCCAAAGTCATTTTATGCAAGAGGCTTGAAAGTTGTCTTTCAATTATGGTTAAATTCCACATGCAAATTTGACAAAACAAACTCATTAATATTATGGCATTGAAATTCAAAGTTAGGACATTATTTTAGTAATTAGTATTAATATTAATCAAAGTTAGGACATTACTTTATTAATTAGTATTAATATTAGATTGTACATAATTTTCTCAAAAACCAAACCGAAACCGTTTGAAACCGCACCGAACCGAACCGCACCGCACTCACCTCTACTTGTAGTGCGATTAGAGAGGTATCGATGGAAGCAAGTGCCGTACTTTGAAGGCAAAAATATGGCTGAGGCGTACACCGAATTTAAGTATGACATTCGGAATTTGGTGCGGAGGGATTGTTCTACTGAGTTTGAGTCTTGGAAAAAGGTCCCTAAAGAGTTGAAGAAGTCCATGCTGGGAGAGTTATTGGTAAGTTTGTGGAAAATAATGAACAATTATTTTTGTTAAAACGTAATATTTTTTAAATTACTAATTTATTGTTATTGGCATTAATGTAGGTTCATTGGGATGTTGATGAAACCGATGAAAAGCAATGGATTTATGTGGATGGGCTTTTCAAGAAAAGTTTCCGGCAATGGAAGTTTGATGTGTTGCGGGCGATGAAGGATTGAAGTTGATGAAGGTTGTTTTTTTTTTTAATTTTTTTTAATTTTTTAATTTTTAATTTAAAAAAAAACGATTTTGTGGATTTTATATTTAATTTAATGAATAAATATACGTTATGTGGATGAGCATTAATATTTGCATTAATTATAATTTCTATTTGGGATAGTAAATTAGTTTTGTTAATTAATTTAATGTTTAATTAGGTTTGAGTTTTTTATTTATAATAAAATAAAAATTTACAATACATACAAATAAAAAAGAAAAACATAAAAAAATTAAAAAATATGCATTGCGCGACGATACATTCTTTCGTCGCGGAATGTGTTGAAAAAAATAAATTGTAAAGTAAAGGAAATAAAATAAAAAAATGGTAAAATTGCGCGACGAAGATCATCTTAGTCGCTTAATGTGTGTTTGCGCGACGAATACCTTGTTCGTCGCGCAAAATCGTTGTCCTTTTTAATCTCAATTCAGCCATGTGTAGAGGCAAATTGCAAATTTTTTTTGCAGATTGTGCCTCTGCACTCATCCCTTTGATTTTGCTCAATCCGGCATCCGTCAATTCCATTTTCTCTCAATTTCATCATCTAATACTCCTTCCATCTTCTTCTCTAGGTTGATCGAGCTATCTCAGTGTCTGGTAAGCGTTTTTTGTCGTTAGGGTAAAAGTATTAACTTAAATTCATACTAATGTCATTAATTTCGTTGTCTATAGGGATATTGTGTATGATTAGCGATTGGTGGAGAACGATTATAAAATTAATTAAATTATGTTGAACTTTGTTATGTTTATATTGTGTTGTGAAATTATATCTACATTATGTTGTTAAATTTGTACGTGACATACAAATATGTGTTGTGATGTATGAAGTTAATTGAAATTAACTTCGTACTTGTTTTTTTTTATTTTTAGTAAAACTTAGTTTCCCGTTCGAGGATTAGTTGGATTTTGCGCATGGATGCAAAAGCATGACTGCGGTCCAATAATTTCTTGAATTGTCCCATTATTTGGATAGTTTGGGAATGCACAGTTATGATGCGTAGTTTATGGTTGAAAGATTAGATTTTGGTTGTGGAGATTTCGGTGTCATCTCTGTACATTCTTCAGGTCGTACACTTGAAAAACTGTATCGAGATTGTGAAGCCTAAAATAATCCCAAAAATTCTAGAGGTGACACGTGGACTTTTATTCAAGAAGGACAAGATTGCCCTCAATAAATGGGCAGGCTTCTCAGATTCTCCCACGCGCAGCTTACATCCCTGAAGAACTCAGCAGCTAAGCACAACTGCGCACAGCTCATCTGCCCATGGCAAGGAATTAAAGATAAGGATTAATTACCTAAATCCTATCTTTAATACATTCCTACTTGAAGAATAACTCCAATCAAGTAAGTAATTCTAATTGATTTAAATTAGGATAATTACACCATTATCTCAAGATATTATTTCCTATTTAATATATTGGGAATATTTAGAGAATATCTCTCCATTAAACACCATATGGTTGGCCCTAGCCCTATAAATACCCCATATTCTACCAAATTGAGAGAGCTTTTGCAACTCTAAAAAGCCTTAAACACTTTACTCTCTCAGAGAAACTAACTTAGGCATTGGAGATCCGTTGACCCAA